GTAGTTACGTCACATTTTAATAAGTTTTAAATAAATCTCTAAATAAACATTTCGTCTTTAATAAAATTTTGTAGCTACATACAAAAATAAAACATGGCCTAATTTTTCACCTTATAATAATGGCTGATGCAAACTCGGAAATATAAATATTGAATACTGTGCATCGATGAGATCAAATTGAAAGTTAACCTAATCACTATAAAGGTTACACATTTTATAAACATCTAACTTAACATTTCCCATATTTATTTAACAAACAATAAGATACATGCAACATAAAAATCTAAAATAAATAGCTAGTCAAATTATGAAATGATCTCTTATTCTATTTAGATTTATCTACAACACTTAGGCCGGTGTTCAGTGACAATATTGTATAGAAACAAAAACTCCACAATATAATACAAAATAACATGAAAAACGGCTATAAACATTTATAATAGGTATGTTTTAGCCACTATTTATTAATAAAATTAATAATAATATTATTGATAAAATTAGAGATTCCGAATTTTTATACACCTATGTGATATGGAGTAAGTGCAATGTGTAAGTGAAAATTACTTTTACTATTATAATAACAATCACTGGTATTTATTCAAGCACTACCCATGTGGATGGAGACTACTACATAAAACTTTTTTACACTAATTGCTACTACACTTTTTACACCCACTAAAACTTTAAATGCATGTGGTTTTATAGCTATTAATCTATTATTTAAAACTATAAAAATTATAAGCGCAAGTAATACTAAAATAAAGTTTTAAATAAAATGTAAAGAGTTAAAAGTAATAATAGTATAAATAATAAAATAAAATAATAAAAGTATAAATTAATGGATGATATTGCAATTACTAAATAAAATAGATAAAGTAGAAAATAAATAAATAAAAATAATAGTAGAAAATAATATGTAAAATAAAAGTAGAAAATAATATCTAAAAATAACTTCATAAAAATTACATGTATAATAATTATAACATTTAAATTACGTTTCTAACATAAAAACAATATAATTTTTAGTTAATTTTTCACAAGATGTATAATTAAGTAATTTCAATAAAATGTTTATTAGATTTAAGCCACAGCCAGCTGTATGGGATGCGATAAGTAACAAATACATCTAAAAATTAAAAGTAATAATAGTATAAATAATAAAAGTAGAAAATAATTTGTACAAATAATTTCATAAAAATTACATGTAAAATAATAATAATACTTAAATGACGTGGCTATTATAAAAACAATATAATTTTTAGTTAATTTTTCACAAGATGTATAATTAAGTAATTTCAATAAAAGTAAAAGTTTCAGTAAAAGTAATTGCAAAAATTTTTTATTTATTAAATTTAAGCCACAGCCAACTGTAAGGGATGCGATAAGTAACAAATACATCTAAGAATTAAGGGCCTATACTACCTCAGCTCAAATTCTAATTTCGTCTCCACTGTCCAGCGCCACTCGTTCGCACATTATGCGAACTCGTTCACACACTATGCGTGGCTCGAGGTCACGCAGGAACACGAGGCCAAAGCGATTTTGTTAGAGTAAAATAAACTATTATCGGTCGAGCACTAAGTAGGTAATAAAGTTTTCAGTCATAATTTAATATTAACTTGTGGTGAGGTCTCATGATAACAAACAAAACGAACCCAAACTACGCACACCTAGTTCTAGTAGTCTAGTAGTTCCAGTTGTAATCACCGAATTACACCTTTAGGTCACTCCATCAATTCCGGTAGTAAGGTCTCATGGTAACTAACAAAACGAACCCAAACTCGGCACACCGAGTTGCAGTTGTAATCACCGAATTACACCTTCAGGTCACTCCATCAAGTCCGGTGGTAAGGTCTCATCATAACTAACAAAACGAACCCAAACTACGCACACCTTTCGGTCAGTAGTTCCAGTTGTAATCACCGAATTACACCTTTAGGTCACTCCATCAAGTCCGGTGGTAAGGTCTCATCGTAACTAACAAAACGAACCCAAACTCGGCACACCGAGTTCCAGTTGTAATCACCGAATTTCACCTTCAGGTCACTCTCCATCAAGTCCGGTGGTAAGGTCTCATCATAATTAACAAAACGAACCGAAACTTGGCACACCTAGTTCTAGTAGTCTAGGAGTTCCTGTTGTAATCACCGAATCACACCTTCAGGTCACTCCATCAATTCCGGTGGTAAGGTCTCATCATAACTAACAAGACGAACCCAAACTCGGCACACCGAGTTCCAGTTGTAATCACCGAATTACACCTTCAGGTCACTCTCTATCAAGTCCGGTGGTAAGGTCTCATCATAATTAACAAAACGAACCGAAACTTGGCACACCTAGTTCTAGTAGTCTAGGAGTTCCTGTTGTAATCACCGAATCACACCTTCAGGTCACTCCATCAAGTCCGGTGGTAAGGTCTCATCATAACTAACAAGACGAACCCAAACTCGGCACACCGAGTTCCAGTTGTAATCACCGAATTACACCTTCAGGTCACTCTCCATCAAGTCCGGTGGTAAGGTCTCATCATAATTAACAAAACGAACCGAAACTTGGCACACCTAGTTCTAGTAGTCTAGGAGTTCCTGTTGTAATCACCGAATCACACCTTCAGGTCACTCCATCAAGTCCGGTGGTAAGGTCTCATCATAACTAACAAGACGAACCCAAACTCGGCACACCGAGTTCCAGTTATAATCACCGAATTACACCTTCAGGTCACTCCATCAATTCCGGCAGTAAGGTCTCATGGTAACTAACAAAACGAACCCAAACTCGGCACACCGAGTTACAGTTGTAATCACCGAATTACACCTTCAGGTCACTCCATCAATTCCGGTGGTAAGGTCTCATCATAACTAACAAGACGAACCCAAACTCGGCACACCGAGTTCCAGTTGTAATCACCGAATTACACCTTCAGGTCACTCCATCAAGACCGGTGGTAAGGTCTCATCATAACTAACAAGACGAACCCAAACTCGGCACACCGAGTTCCAGTTGTAATCACCGAATTACACCTTCAGGTCACTCTCCATCAAGTCCGGTGGTAAGGTCTCATCATAAATAACAAAACGAACCGAAACTTGGCACACCTAGTTCTAGTAGTCTAGGAGTTCCTGTTGTAATCACCGAATCACACCTTCAGGTCACTCCATCAAGTCCGGTGGTAAGGTCTCATCATAACTAACAAGACGAACCCAAACTCGGCACACCGAGTTCCAGTTGTAATCACCGAATTACACCTTCAGGTCACTCTCCATCAAGTCCGGTGGTAAGGTCTCATCATAATTAACAAAACGAACCGAAACTTGGCACACCTAGTTCTAGTAGTCTAGGAGTTCCAGTTGCAATCACCGAATTACACCTTCAGGTCACTCCATCAAGTCCGGTGGTAAGGTCTCATCATAACTAACAAGATGAACCCAAACTCGAAGTTGTTGTAATCACGAATTACACCAGGTACTCCAAGTTCGGTGGTAAGGTCTATCATAACTACAAAACGAACCGAAACTTGGTACACCTAGTTCTAGTAGTCTAGGAGTTCCTGTTGTAATCACCGAATTACACCTTTAGGTCACTCTCCATCAAGTCCGGTGGTAAGGTCTCATCATAACTAACTAAATGAACCCAAACTCGGCACACCTAGTTCTACTAGTCTAGGAGTTCCAGTTGTAATCACCGAATTACACCTTCAGGTCACTCCGTCAAGTCCGGTGGTAAGGTCTCATCATAACTAACAAAACGAACCGAAACTTGGCACACCTAGTTCTAGTAGTCTAGGAGTTCCAGTTGTAATCACCGAATTACACCTTCAGGTCACTCCATCAAGTTCGGTGGTAAGGTCTCATCATAACTAACAAAACGAACCCAAACTCGGCACACCGAGTTCCAGTTGTAATCACCGAATTACACCTTCAGGTCACTCCATCAAGTTCGGTGGTAAGGTCTTATCATAACTAACAAAACGAACCGAAACTTGGCACACCTAGTTTTAGTAGTCTAGGAGTTCCTGTTCTAATCACCGAATCACACCTTCAGGTCACTCTCCATCAAGTCCGGTGGTGGTAAGGAGGTATAAGAAATGAAAAACAAATTCAATCTTTCAAATTATCTCAACTTTACCATATAATAAATATATGGTAAAGTTGAGGATTAATGTTAAGTACTATGTTAGACGAAAACACGATTCCATAAAAATTTTTCGATAGAAAAAAACTATAAACCGCTGGTGTTCAAAATACTTAAAATTAGATCATGAAACTTTGCTACTGAAATAACCATAAAGCAGGGCTTATGTATTTACTTTTTTCTTTTTTTAAAGTTCACCGTAATGATAAATAAAAAAAGTAAATAACATAAACCCTGCTTTATAGTTAGGTAGTTCAGTTAGTAGTAGTAGTAGTTCGGTTTGGAGGTAACTTTGGAAACTTTTTTTTCTATCGAGAAAATTTTATGGAATCATGTTTTCGTCTAACATAGTACTTAACATTAATCCTCAACCTTACCATATATTTATTTCAAAAACAATGCTGCAGTATTTTCGGCATAACAGAGGATCTCGCTAAGCCATTTGACGTAGTATACGCCCTTAAAAGTAATAATAGTATAAATAATAAAATAATATAGTAAAAGCATAAATTAATGGATAATTTTGAAATTACTAAACAAAATAGGTAAAGTAGAAAATAAATAAATAGAAAATAAAAGTAAGTAGAAAATAAATAGAAAATATGTAAAATAAAAGTAGAAAATAATATGTACAAATAACTTCATAAAAATTACATGTAAAATAATTATAATATTTAAATTACGTATCTATTATAAAAACAATATCAATTTTAGTTAATTTTTAGATGTATAATTAAGTAATTGCAATAAAATGTTCATTTATTAGATTTAAGCTACAGCCAGCTGTGTGGGATGCGATAAGTAACAAATACATCTGCCTAGCAAAACATTAAGTACAAGAAAGTGCAAAAATAAAGTAATACATTTATTTACTGGCCTGGATTTGAAGTTTTATCGCCAAATGTTGGTTCATCCTTGAGGAATGTTTCGGAACGTTCAATCACCTGTAAGTCAGGTACGCGTTCCTGTGTTTGTCGGCTCATGTGTTTCGTCGCATGTTTGGATTGTTTCAAGCTCACACCTTTGCATTCTTTCGTAATTTTCGGCACCATTTTTGCTTGACTAGCTTTGGTTGGGTTCATTAGTGATGTGGTCACTTTTCTTGTAGTCTCTGTGTGCGAAGTCGACGGCATTGAATCGGTTATTGTAAATTTCCTGTTAGAATTGTATTGCCTTTGAGAATCGTGGTTCTCCGACTTTGATATTTGACTCGCAAGCACTGGTATCTTTGTTTTCCCGGCGTTATTTAAAACTGTTTGAGCAGATTGACATTTGGCGATTTTAATGGCTGTAAAATAAATTATTTGTGTATAATGTATAATATTTATATAACAAAAACTGAGAAACAATCTAAAGTTACTTACGTTCAGTGGATCGTGCATTTTCTTTATGTCTTCTTTTGGTGTATGTTGCATATTTATTACTCGCTTGAGACTCGCTAAGAGAATCAGTAGAAGGCTCCGCCGTTCTTGGACGTGATGACGTCGCTAAACTGTCTTGCGACATAGCTTGCGCTTTAGATTCACAGACTTGCTTTGTTTTAGCGCGGCTGGCCCTAACATTCCCTTCCACTGGGCTCACATTCCTCGACGATTCACTGGACGAAATCATTTTGTGTAAATGGGTTTTGTGTGATATTTTCTTATCGTTGTCTTTGCATGTCCGGGGCTCTAGATATCTAGGTTTGGTATTTTGAAATGCTTTCTGTCGTCCGCCTTGGGGTTTCGTGTTGATACTCTCTTGTGACTTATTTTTGATCAGATTGTATTTGGCGCGTTCTTCTTGGGCTTTGGTCATTCTGACCTTCGGTGGGATTGTACGCACTGGTTTCCTTAAGTCCCTGAGCTCGTTGTTGCTCTTTAAAATATCTCGTGGACTGACCTGAGTAACAGGTTTTGATGCATATGGAACGAACAAAGCGCGCACATGTTCCATATCTAAGCTGCGAGAGGTACTAGGGTTGTTCAATTTGGGCATTTTATTGTGATGATGTGTTTTATTTTTCCTGCCTTGGAGGTGGGAAGGATTGACTGGAATAGCTTGGGCATCGTACGTGATGCAGCCTAGTTCGCGTAATCTCTTCCGTAGATCATAGGGTAAATCATAAAAAGCTTGTGTACCTACAACTCGTGGTGCGGCACGTACTAAAACGCCTTCACATTGCAATTGCCAGCAACTGCCACGACTGTAAAGAAGGTTACTCTGTCCTGTATCCTTGGATTCTTCATTGTCGTTGTTAATGAGATCAGGCTTTGAGAATTGGTTGTGCTTATCTTTCACTAGTCCTGAAAGGAAGGCATAGGCACGGCACGCTTCCTCTGTAGGGGCCCATTGGATGGCGGTAGCAAGGCACTCGTCGAGAGCGTGTACTGCGGGCTGCGGGGCTTCGGCTGGCATCGACGATATCGCTTTAAAAATTTCCACAAGACACCTAGAGGCGAAGTAAGCAGCTGCGTTAATTAAACGCTTGCAAAGATACGCCACGTTTTCTGCCCATCTACTGTTTTGTAATGATGCGACTGAAAATGAAACGAAGTGATAGGGAGTTCATGACATTATTCAAGTCAAAAATATATATAATCTTTTCTCTGGAGTTCAACGAATAAAAGGTCGTGACGACCCATGATGGCTATAAAAATCTTTACCAAACATGGAATGTCTTTGGTTATATCTATTATTTATCTGTGTGGTGTTATGTTAGAGTTAGCGTTCAAATAACTAGTGATCTTCCTTTCTTGTCTTGTAACATCATAGAAAATAAACAAATGCCGGGGTGTTATCATAACTACAGCCCATCACAACACATACAAAGCATAGTCCTGATACACCTGCGTCCATCAAATTAACGCTTCTCTACCCAGGTCGGCACTCCATCTAATGCGGGCCGCCCTTATAACTCGTAAAACCGACAATCGATAAACAATAAAGGTTATTGAGTTGCGGCTTGGATTTCGTTGCAAAATAACTCATTACTCCGTAGCAATCTACTGTACTGGACATGGCGTAGCAGGGATGATCTTTTCTAATCTAATCTCAGAGGGAGACAACTGAGAGCACTCTTTTATCTTCGTGTAACCACTTACCATCAGATGAACTGTTAGCTTTTTTTTGTTTAACACTGATACTACCAACAAATTCAAAAGTGGAGAATGTATACGCGGAGTAGCGGATACCTAATACATTAATACATTCACCAGCACGGAAACTTGGCCACTCGTGAATTTACAGATTATTTTCACTAGGGTAAATGGATTCAATAAGTGTCTCTAATGGTTTTAGAACGTAGAAATTTAATGTTTACTTCACCGAAACTTTTCTTTTCAAGATAATATGTTTTCACTAAAATTAACATCTATCCATTTTCTATTTAAAAATACTACAAAGTTAAAAAAATAAGTCTGTTTCTTTATTGTCCATCACATATAATATCGGGTGTTTCCTCCTTTAGTCCTAATAACCGCCTGCATTCGATCTGGCATGCTTTGAATGATGTTTCTGATATCAACTTGAGGTATGCTGTCCCAAGCGGCCAGCGCTGCATTTCGGAGCTCAATTAGAGTTTGTTTGAGTAAAGGCGGTATGCAGCTGTACTTTATCTTTCTTTTGAGAATGCCCCACACATGCTCAATTAGATTTAAGTCCGGGCTACGAGCTGACCACTGTAATGTTTGTATTCCAACCTTTTTCAGATATTCCTCTACACAATGTGCGACGTGGGCGCCACGGAAACTCACAGTTTGAGTGGTGGTAATGGGTAGAAACCTCTCTTCTCTTTTTCTCCGCACTCTTTCTCGACCGTCTGAAGCACGTAAAGCTATTCGACACTCATCTGTGAACAGCACTATAGCCCATTGCACATGGGTCCAATTGACATGTTCTCTTGCGAACTGAAGTCGGGCTACTCGGTCCTGTCTAAGAAGTTCTGGACGTCGTGCCAGTCTACGAGCTTTTTAATTCACTTCCTCCATTCGTCTTCTCACCGTACGCTCACTAACATTAACGCCTCTTGCGATTTCGAGACGCTGGCGTATCTCAATAGCGGTCAGTAGCGGTTTCTCAAAAGATATAGATGTAATTGTTCTGGAGAACAATAAAACGATCGTCCCGGGTCGATATGCACCTTACGCCCCCACTGCCTGGCCAGCGGGTGTAGCGGCCTGTCTCCTGGTATCGTTTCAGTGCATACTGCATTGAGGACCATGATACGTCAAGCACAATAGCAACTTCACGCTGTGTCAGCCCTTGGTCAATTAATGCTACTGCTTGTGGAACTTGTGCTGGTGTTTATGACATTTTTAATAGTTTTAAAGCAACTTTAGTAATTGAATTAAGACACAAGATCACAATAATTGAATAAACTTACAGTAAACTTCTCACAACACACAAATTTAAAATGTATACTTAGTCGCTCAAATGACCCGATCCAACTAAAAATTAAGGAATTCGTCATGGTGCACTTAAACATAATGAATTACCCTCCTGAACATTTTTCGACATATCTGCATAACAAACATTCATTAGAAACACTTAAAGCTTTTGTTATCGCGAGATAAGCACTTGGCCATTTTCCGTGCGGCTGAGACACGTATTATGTAATATTATACATATAAATATACTAATATTAGGGTTTATTTTAAAATAGTATGCAAATATAAATATTTAAGTTGAAATATATAAATAATGTTTTAGACCATTCAACCCAATGGACTCGCCTCGCATAATTATTTCACTCTGCGCAAGTATTAGATTTAAAAATCTTGTGCGTTTATAAAAACTGTTTACGGAATCGATTTCGTCATTACAAGAATCGTTTCCGTCGTTGTAGATTATCTTTAAAAAATACCGATTTGTGCGATTAACGTGTGCAAAAAGAAGTCTAATACTTCAAATTTACAAAAAGATAGTTACATTCCATATGTAAGTATTTTATTGTGATATATACTTTCTTTCTATTATAATAATTTAAAATTATATCATAAATAATAATGGAGAACTTTACCGATAAGATGATCGAGTACATAATATTTCATAAACATCGTAGTGATAATCGAAATATGCCAAGCACACTCCCCATGATATTAGTTGTTTGTTGTGTATGTTTATTTTTTTTAGTCAACCCTTAGATGTTAAAATTAGATTGAAAATTGAACACGCAAGCACAAACTAGTTTATATTATATTATATTGCAAAATATAAACAATAAAAGTGTAACGAGACTACTTCACCCTGCAGCAGTCGCGCCTTATAAAATAAGGTAAATGGTCGCGTGGATTACGTATGTGGTCCAATTTAAAATAATAAGAAAGCTTTAAAATATTAATTAAAATGTATTTTCATTTTATTATAAATATGAAACAGGGTTACATTTAGTCAACGGTTAATCATATTTATTAAACAAAAACCATTTATACGTCCTTTTTATTCAATTTATAATATTTAAAAAATCACATCACAGCATATTATTATATAATAAAATCACATTAATTTCAAAGTTAGATCACAAAGTTTACATATTTTTTTTTCTAATCATTTGGTTCCAGAAATATCCAAATTTGAGATTATTTTACAGTGGTTTACTATTGTAATGTAGGGTAGTAACAACAAACAAAGTAACAACTGTAGGGTTACGTGTTTAATTGGAAAGGGTATCTATCATATTGATGTGGATTGGGACTGTGATGTACGGATCGATATTTATAAGTTTTCATCAAACACTCAACTAAAGAAGATTACCTATTATTATAATAATAATGTGAATGAACAATTTTCGTCCCTAGATTAAATAAATTCAACATTTTTTTTTAACTATAGATACGTCTATACTAAAACGTCCTTTAATTATTATATTTGAAATATATTTACTTATTTTACTTGTTATCTAAATGACACCCGCGACTTGTGACCACGTGGATAAGGAAAAATTAAAAAGTTCCTGTTAGGTTTTTAATTTTCCGGGACAAATGTAGCTTGTTGTTCAGAGTATCCAAATCTATTCAGTCGTTGTGGCGTGAAGGAGTAACAAACATCTCGAATATGTTTGAATGCAATTAGGTATAGGAAAAACTTTTACTTACACAGATACGATAAGGTTTTGATGAGTATTAATTAAGGATTAGGGCGAAATATCTCAAACTTTGGGGAATATTATTTGAGCAAGTACAAACGCGTTTTCTACGTTTTCTGCAATTTTACAGTGATATTTACATTTCGCGGTGTAAAAAATTTCATATTTTGCCTCTGTACGAACGTAGGCGCATAGCAGATATGATTTATCTTTTTAAATTGGCAAATGGTAATATTGGTTGTACGAGGCTACAAGTGAGGATTTACAACCAAGAGTTCCCCAATTAAGAAAGCCTTGCCTACTCCATGTGCCGTATAACCGGACTAAATACAGGCAAAATTATTTTATGATACGTGCATTATAGAACTTTTAACGACATTTCCAATAGCGTTGTCTTGGATTTGTTTAATACCAGTTTCACGAATCAAAAATGGTTTAGCGAAAAAATTCTTTTGTTGAGTGCTCTTCTGTTTAATTTAGTTAATTTACTGTATTTATCTTGATCGATGTTTATCTTTTACCGACTAGAATTATTGTTTTTGAGTTCATTATGTCTATGTGAAAACTTTTAAATGGCCTTGTAGTTGTAATTCATTCACTTACTGTTAATGTTAGCTGTAAGTTTCCAAAAAGAATAAAATAAAATAAAATTTTAGATCAGGGCAGTTTTTCAATGTTACTTTTAAGTTTCTATTAATGATCTCTTTAAAAGTTCACTTGCTTCAATTCTTATCTTTTCTAGGACCTGTATGTTTTATTTATTTGCCAAAAATGTCTCTGTCGGCGAATCTAGTACTTCTTGCAAACTTAACTTTTTTCTTTGAACACCGTTTTAAAATAGATGGTGTTGTCACTAAGATCAGCCCCAAATAAATATTTTTTAATTCTATTTATAATTTTATGCCTTTATATTTATTATACTAATTAATAAGTTGAGACACTTTATTTTTGTTTCACAAAAATATTTTATTGTAATAATATAAATGTCGATTTTAAAACTATTTTTTGTGATGAGGGCTTGTTATTTAAAACGTAAGTTCCTCCACCTTTTTGTTTTTAATACTTAGAGCCTATTTATTTCCGGTATTCATGTTTAACCATGCCTCTTTAGAAGTCTCTGTATAAAGCCGCGGTCAAACCGCCTTGTTGAGTTACTATGGAACCTTAAAAAAGCTTACTACGCTGACCAACTAAAAATATGATTTTAATTGTTCGAGTGCATTTTGCTAATGCTTGTGAGTTTTCTTTTTCTTAGGGAAACTATCGATATAAAATATCGATATTTAATATCTATTTAATTATTATAATTGTACGTCTTACACTCATAACTTTTTATGTTGATGTATTTAATCTACATGTGTGCGTAAAATGTAATAGTGTTGGAGATTTAGATTTGTGTGTGCCATAATGACACAAAATTTTATTGAGTAGGTGTGCAGAATTTTTTGTTCGTAGCATTAGGCGCATTACTCGTCCATTGGGTTGAATGGTCTAAGAGTTATTGAAAATACAAGTAAATAAGGCTTCTGTGTGTATATATTCTGTATATATAAAATAGTACTGAAAATAACTTACCGATTATACCGCAACCATACACTATATCAATAAATGTCTCCGGATTGAAATTAGTAATTTGCTCCTGGTAGCATTTCTCCAAAAGCACCTTGGGCAGCGTAGCAAAAGCTTTGGTAGGCCATACTTTAGTGAAATATTTTGTTATCCACCTTAAGCATTTGTGATACAAATCGTCCAGACCGTACGCCGACGTCAGCGGGAAGCATTCGAGAACACCCGCTGTACATACCTGACAAGGCTAAAAAAAATATTACAATTTTTTTATTTTTTTTTTATGTATTTTTTTCATTACAAAAATTTAAGAAAAATGCTCCACTTTTGATGGATAATATCCATTGATGGATATTAATTAATTTATAAACTATTACAGGTCATCAATCATAGTTTATATTCATAGGTAACGATGCCGGCCTGAATGTTGTTTATTTTAAAACAAGAATGAACCTAAAAGTATCCAGCGCTTCTATGTACTTATACAAGCGTATATTACGTATTGATGCTCTGTAGCTTTAACGTTAAAATCATAATATGTAGAATTTAGTAAACAGAAAGAAATAAAATCAATACCCTGTGAAAATTGTGACAATATTTAGTCTTTAGCGTGAGCATGATGACTTCCTTGAGCCCTTCTAAGCACAACATGTCGGCAAGCGTAGCGAGCTCCACAATGCTTATTGAATTAGGGATCACTGATACGCCAGAATATATGTGGCATAAAGCAAAATGTATTACGTTATGGGAAAATCTGCAAAAGAAATATAATGCATTAGTAGTGGAGTTTACCACTCTGTATTGGCGGCTCTGTTGCGATTTAAAATTAATTGATCTTTACTGTACAAATTTTCTGATACAACAGATTTTTTTAGTTTTCGTTATGTAGATTAAAAACATGTTGACGTTTGTAAAACGTAATTTAAATAAGCTACGTGGAAAACAGTTTTCATTTCATTTCATATAAGTCAAAGAAAACATTTTTGAAATAAAATATGCTTCCATTCATTCCATCATAAAAATGCGAGTTAGTTTTTACAGCGAAACAGCGATATCTAACTCTAAGTCTGCACACTTTTTAATTGAATAACAATAATATACTTTAAAATCTGCCCAATATAAAATATTTGTCCCGTTTGCATTGTATGGTTCAACAGTAATATCGGTGAGTGAATGGATTTGCATTTAAAATTCTTTTCGCTGAACTTTTTTCACTAAACTTTCAAAATAAGATTGTAATGTAGACCAAAAACTTTATGTAAATAGGTTCAACACACTGTTCCAGAGAAACTTACTAAATTACAAATGAATATAATTTTTCTTCAAATCAGCAGTTTCAAAATGTAACCAAACAAATAATATTACTTACGGTGGCAAAAGAATAACATTTCCAGCACTTTCCACCCAACCTCCGCTTAACATAGCCGCAAAATACTGACATCTGAAACAATTTTATGACATGAGTATAAAAAATATGTTTTGATTAAAATTAGCGAATATACCTCTCGCTTCACTCAAATTCAAAACTGCAACACATTTCTATACAATAGTATTTTAGTTTTATTAAGTTATCTTTTATTTTTGCCTACGTATAACTAATTTGTACAGTTATTTTTGTGAGAAGAAATGGCTCTTGAGATACATTAGAAGTCAGGGACTTTAAATTTATTTGTTAAAATTTACTGGTGAAGTAAAGCATTATTGTTATTATAGAAATACAAATTGAATATTATATTATAATAATAAAGGTAATATTAGTGGCTATAACCAAATAATCTTGATCCCGTTTTATAGTGCTTAACAGACTACATAGAGTTCAAGACCTAAATTAAGATCTGATCACAGATCTGCTAGATAAAGTTACTTAAATGTATTTTTATCAAGCATAATAATCATTATTATATCAATTATATTGCGGTTGTCCTGTGAAATAGGTAATATGTTCATGGCGACGCTAAATTTAAATGCTGTAACCATTTTTCACATTTGGTTACCAAAGAAATATCAAACTTTTGCAAAGTTAGGTTGTCAAACTTTTACCGGGATTCCTGTGTAGCGGCTGTATCAGAATATCCACTACCACTACCATTTCGTCCCATGAGTGTGGCGACGACACAAAATAATAAAGACTGCGGTTTCCAACCACAACCAGCATGCCATACGCGTCAATCTATAGGGGAGGCGTATTAGGAGGTATATATAGTATCATAGCTGGTATAATAACATTCATTTTTGATTGCTCCGATTTTCAAATGCAAATGCTACTAATATTATTAGCATTTTGTACCCATCTGCTTTCTCATTACCTTATACATATTATAATTTAAACTAACATATACATATTATAATTTTATTGCGTACAGTGGTATAAGGTCGCTCGCGAATAATTGTTGATAAATCACGATTGCCAGTCTTTGAAATTTGAAAATCGGAGCAATCAAAAATGCATGTTATTATAGCAGTATATTCTGTGCAACAAAGGAGATCGCAACATGGGCAGCTACGTGTAACGTGATTGTCCCATGAGACCCAGAGCACAATACACATGTTCTATTTTTTGAGTTTGAAAAAGACAACACTTTTAACTGCCAAGAATTGTTTCGAAGCCGCTAATAATTTACTTTTAAGTACTTTTAAAATAAAATTCGATAAAAATCAAATGGTGTTCGTTAGACGCGCTACAATTAAAAAACAGCTCGACCCATTTTGATGAAATTATTTTTGTGTTTAATTGGGTCCCTAGGTTGCTTACATTTTAAGATCCTGAAATCACCCGTGCAAAGTTGGGGCGGATCGTTATTTAAATATAAAAAACTAAAATATAAAATTGCCTTTTAAATATTTTCAGTATTTATATTAAAATTATATTGATATTAGTTTTCAAGGCACTCCCCTTGTTGCCTCAGCCATTATTGGAATCCTCGGCGTAGACATATCGAGTGACGTGCAGTTTCGTGGTCACTTGGAAGAGAAGGCCTAAAAAGCTTGGTGTGCTCAGCATAGCGGGACAGTATTTCAGCACCGGCTCACCGCCTGCAACTTTACAAGGTGCAGGTTCGGCCGCACATGGAATACTGTTCCCATCTCTGGACCGGGGCTCCCCAGTGCCAGCTCCTTCCGTTTGATCGCATCCAGCGCAGAGCTGTCCGAATTATCGGCGACCGAGCTATTTCCGATCGGCTTAACTCACTGGCACTGAGGAGAGATGTTGCTGTTGATGTTGTATTTTATCGCATCTACCACGGGGAGTGCAATGAAGAATTGTTCGAACTAATTCCAGCCGCACAATTTCACCATCGCACATCGCGACAAAACTCGCGATACCATCCATACCATCTAGATGACTGGCGGTCCACCACAGTGCGATTTAAAAAAAGTTTTCTTCCTCGCACAACTTCCTTGTGGAATCGACTACCACCAGAGATTTTTCCGGATCGATACGACCTAGGGACTTTCAAGAAAAGAGCCTACTTATTTTTAAAAGGCCGGCAACGCAACTGCAATTCCCCTGGTGTTGCAGTTGCTCATGGGCGGCGGTAATCACTAACCATCAGGTGAGCTCGTTTGCCCCACTTCTAAAAAAAATTATTAAAATATCTAAAAATTTTGATATAGTTATTGGTTATAGTAAATAGACTGGTTGTCTGGAAGAAATTGCTATCAGCAATGAGACCGCCCATTGCGTACTCCTTTTGTATAAATAATTACTAATTTTTTATGTGGTGTGCAATAAAGAATAATAAATAAACAAATAAATAAAAATAAATAGCAATATTAATGGCAGTCTCGACTCTCGACTACAAAACGATTAGGCGTTCGGGCACAGAATAAATAATAGTACTATATAGTTTGGGTTATATAGTTATATACGTGCAGTAGGTACTTACGCATTTTCAATACAAATGAAAAATGAATTTCTACGTTATTACTTATTAGTTCTTATTTATTACTTTATTATTTTTGTTCTTCAAAAAATCCATTTTCTAAAATTATCCTACTACAATATCCTTGTCCAATTAGACTCATTTTGTGGATAATGCTCAAGTTACAATATAATAATATATAAATTGTACCTAATCACTAATCAGGTAATCAGTCATTCACCACGCGCAACCTGCACACTATAATTTGTTTACTATTTTGAGACCGTGCGTCACCCTCAATAACCTATCCAAAGGTCTGTCGCAGACGGTATTTAGTTATGTATTTAGTTTCTGAAGAACATTATTACACGTGTTCCATGTGAAGTGAATAAGCAGACCCGGGTGGTTATTAACAATATTACAGTTTTAGTTAAAAAAAATTTAAAATTATCAATTGCATAACATTTTAAAAGGGATAACATTTTTGAAAACCAGTAAGTGCAAGCAAGAGCGCAATATTACCGTTGCCCTTCTCAAATTTTATGGTCGCGAATGTCACGCGGCTTGGCATTTAGTAATACATTATACTGTGAGATAGATGCTATATCGTAAGAAGCAGAAGAAATAAAAAATAGACTACCATTCTCAAATTTTGAACAATCGTTTATCATCTTTTTAAGTCGGTTGCACAACATCGTCTATTGTCAACGGGTCTCAAAGGCCTAGTCTCCGACAAACCCTATTGGTTTTATACATATAAAAATCGTCAAACTATTAATACAATCACAGTTTTCAGTTAGGATTGGCCAATTACATTAAGCTACATAGAATTTATTTTTGAATTTCAAAGCCTTTCAACCTTATACCACAAGGTCGTTACAAAATTTTCTATATTTTAATATACATATTATATTTTAATAAGACAGCAGTACCAATTGCTTTTAAGTATATTTATGGCTAATAAACCGATAATAGAGAATGGAAAACGGTAGGCAACATTACAACTGCATGTTTCCTATGCTTGATCGCTATTAAATTTATTTCCTCAAAGTGATTCATTCACTATCTTTAAAAATCAACCGTAATAAACGGGTAGCCATGAACTACCCCTAAATTTTTGTTTGAGTATGTCGCACCGCGCCCGCCTCGCGTTCGCGTTTGCAGTCTGGCCAAGCACTTATGTGTATTGATATTAAAACCAGCCAGATAAAAACAGTACAACCAAAGATATTTTTCTCCAATTTTATACAAACAAAATACGAAGAAACTTGTTCCCCGACCTATTATTGCCAATATATAAATACAATTTTATCGAAATATTATATATTACATCCTATTTTATTCAAAAAGTTGACAGGAGTGCATACAAATTTAAGTCTCTCAAGGTCATTATTATGTTTTGAACAATGATGAGATCATAAGTATTAAACAGCAGGTACCTTGAAGACAAAATGCACTTGTGCGCCTTTATACGTTTCCCAGCAACTTCAACTACTACATCAGTCGCTATTTCCTCTAAAAACATCCGTAACAAGTCTTGACCCAGACGAGATTGGCAGCTGGCTATTAAACTAGATGTCTGACTTGTATCTTCAGTAGAACTGTCTGTAAAATAAAATTCAATACGTAAGTAGCTACTAATAAAAATAAGATAAGTCGATATTAATTACATCTATATTCGGAAAAAAATCGTATTTTAAGCCTCGGATACACTAGGGGACATTTTGTCTCGCAACATGATGCGGAACACTCAATCTACGTGACGATGCAACGTCGCACAGTGACCCGTAACATGGCCCGCAACATTTTACGTGACGCGGGACATGTTGCTTGTTCCTGCTCCGAGAGCGAGCGCACGTGTCCCGCGTCAGTTTGCGCATGTTACCAGTTGTAGTCGTATGCACAACGTGCCTTGCAAAATGTCAGCAGTATGGGGAAACGCAACCGTCCTTTTACTTCTTGAGCTATACCTGTCATATTTTGTTGTTGGATACTTCGAACCAACGCCTCCCCCGTGGACTCTACTGCCTCTGTCCATCTATGAGTTAGGTAACCCAGAAGATCGGCGACGGAAACCGTACGGCCACTAATCAGCTGGTGATCTTCTAGGTCCCTCAGGAGCTGGTAGTTTATAATGACTTCCATTATTTCGGAGAACAAGGGGGTGATAGCGATAGGCCTGTAGTTAGACGGATATGAGTGGTCGCCTTTTTAGGGATCGGGTGCACTAAAGCTGTCTTCTATGATTTCAGGTCTACGCCTAAGGAGTAGGAGTACCTAAGAGTACCGAAAAAGACGCGTTAAAACCGGTATCAACTCCGGAGAACACGTCTTTAGCACAATAGGAGGGACGCTATCAGGCCCACTCGACTTGTTGACGTCCAGAGAAAGGAGTACTCTGCGCACCGAACGCTGGGTAAACAGCACATCTTGCATGGAGCACTCATACCGCGGTATGGTCGGCGATGAATGAATGATCACCTTTGTCCTTTGCGACATGTGCCAGTGATTTCATCCTCCCTGTGCAGAGATGGGAGAGATGGCTGACAAAAATTCACTTGGACAGCCATGGCGAGGGACCAGGATGCACGTGTTCCCGAAGGAAGACGAACTAGTTCCTCGCCAATTCTGCCGATATACTCTGACTTTGCTTTGACAGTGACACTTTTGGCCTGACCTGGAGGCAGAATTGTACTTCATTTTAAGGGCGCTGGTATTTGCATCCCGAGACGTGGATGCGTGAGCCCAGGCCTGGTAGCTTATGGCGTGTTGCAATTTTGCAGGACCGAACAAACCATGGCTGGGTTCTGCATCCTATAGGTACCACAGATGATGGAATAAAAGTTCCATTCCACAACAACGCTGGGACCATCCGGCGAGAAGTAAACCCGCACCAAGGGTAGGATGCAAAAAAAGATCGCATCCCGTCCCAATCGGCTGAGCTATATAATGCCAAATACGGCGGCAACCTTCAGTTCGCAACCGCGATTGAAGCGTGAGAGGCACCGTACTGCGGATCAGGTAGACTTCTGGTACTATTCTACCGATCAGTTGTTTCGACACTCGAAAAGTATCCGACAGGGAAACGTAAGAATCTCCAGTCGCCAAGTATCTTAATGCAATGACAAGTCTGATATGAGGGCCAATAGCGTTTCGTAGTATTGTATCCTATTTGGCTATGGAAGGTCCGATCATTTGTGATAGTTTCAAAATCAGATGTTGATATTCGAGTAAAATTCACAAAAGATCCGTCAGACATTCGGAGAGTACCTAAAATATTATTTTTTCTTTCTTCTCGATGTAGCCATCGTAACCTTCTCTTTCAGTAACGTTTCACTCCCGAAGTAAATACTATGTACGCAGCACTAATCGCCACAACCTACTCGGGCGACAATTCTATAAACAGTAAAAACTGACTAATGTGGCCTACAAAATGTTCCGAGCCATATGTCACGGAACATTCCACGTAGTTGTTGAGCGACATGTTGCGCAACATGCTGCTCCTTTTGTCCCCAAGTATATCCAAGGCTTTATATTTGGTTATCTTTTTTGTGTTCACAGTTTGATTATTAGTTTTAAACTAATTGTATTAAAATAGGCCAAATAATGCAATAAAACACGGTTATAAGGCATCTTCATAAGTAATAATGAAGTAAAATAAATACTGGACGTAATTACTTGTAACTACTGCACAATAATAGGTGACGTAAGTAGCTCGCTAAGCGTAAATAAATAAGAAAAGGTTCATTTGTGTAATTAATGAGATTTCAAGTTCTATGGCCTTCTTTGTATTTATTAAAATAATTATAATTATCGTTATAAGACAGAGAAGAAAACTCACCATTAACCGAACGACAGATACTACTTTGGACACTACTTAGTTCCGACATGTCTGATGTTTGCTCGTCTAGTTCTCCATGACTTGAAGAAGCTTCTTGACGTAATGGGAACTGTGTTCTACCAGACAGAGATCCAGGCATACTTTTACTGAGTTCATTTTTCAAGTTAGGAAATAACCTGTTTAAACTCAACGCGTTCTCTGAATGAAATGAGCTCATTATTTCCGTAGATCTCGAAGTAGATGCATGATTTTCTTTCCAATTATTTTCAGGAATCGATCTTGTCATTCTTACATCTAATCTATTGGTACCTTTATTTTGTTTTAAAAGGGACATTTTTATGTCCGTTTTATTAACGGGTTTATCTAAGTCAGACAATTTTACAAAAAGATCGGGAGACTGTTTAATGACTGGTTCCTCTTCAATTACAGTTGTTGCAAGTGTGTGATGTATTTTATCTCCATTAACATCTCGTATAAGCTCAATTTTCTTTGTTAAACTCGATTCAACATCATTAGTTTTACACTGTTTCTGGGGAATAGCAATTATTTCGGAAATACTGACATTTGGATCATTGCATAATGACTCTAATTTTTCAAAAATATCTACGCTTTGCTCCAGTATTTCATTGGGCTTTGTTTCATTGAGCTGTGTTTCATTGGGCTGTGTTTCATTGGGCTGTGTTTCATTGGGCTGTGTTTCATTGGGCTGTGTTTCATTGGGCTGTGTTTCATTGGGCTGGTTTTTGGGCTGTTGTGTTTCATTGGCTGTGTTTCATTGGTATTAGATATATATCTTCCAGTTCTCGAAGTCTTTGTTATTCTTTTTGCTTCATTTGAAATATGCTTTTTTGTATTAAGTGAAGACGAAAGTCGAGCAGGCATTTCTTTTAAGGTTGATTTCTCACTTAAATCAATGTACATAGAAAATATATTCTTTTTCTCAGACAGTATGTCGTTATCTCTATTATTCTCTACTGGTAGAGAGTCAGGCAAACTTGATAGGTCTATATAGAATTTATGACTGGATTTTTCACTACTATCAGAATCCACCGAACCAGTTTTGTTAAAATTTTCAGTATAGTTAGAACATTTATATTCATTTTTTAAAGTTTCACATGTTCGGTCTCCAGGTTTATTGTTACTGATATTCACATTAGAACCTCGATCATCAGACTTCACATCTGACATGTCAACTACCCAAGCAGAGACACCAGTTTTTGTAGTATTTTTGTTATTACAAATATCAAATTTTGTAAGTGTCCCGCCCAATGTTTTAGATGAGTACTTTAAAATTTTGCGGTTTTGAGGCAAATGGTCTTCTATTGAAGCTCCTCCTGAAATTATAGGGGAAGATTCATTATACTTTACATTTAGACACTTTTTTAAATCTCTTTCCATAGTTGCCATATCAGTTTCACTTTCTTCTAAATTAAACAATTTGTTGTTTGTTGTGGAGTCTACCAGTGATAAAATGGAATTATGTGGTGTCTCCGACGTGAATACATTTGTAGTAGAATCTGATTCCGGTGTGCTTGTTCTTATAGAAGCTTCAAAATGTGTAGAATTTTGAAAACCAATCGCGCTTAATGATTCTTCTGCAGTACGTGTAATTTCAAAAATTGTTGGTGACAAATCTTTTTGTATCGAATCTGAATCCCTATTACCTCCTTGTTCTAAAGAATCATCGATTTCATTGCTTTCTGACCAATCATTTGGACTAATATCCTGTTTATAAACGGTGGCACACGGCAATGGCTGACTTGGAGCAGGTACAGTATTAGATATCTTCTTTTCTGATGGCTTTTCATGTACATTATAGGATTTTGGTAGACCTTGAGTATCATCTTCTTCGTCTACTAAACTTGCAGCATCAACGAAACAAGAAGTAGATTTAAATTTAATAGGACATTTTTGTACTAAACGAGGAGATAAATTTTCGGTAAAATTTGTAGGACATTTTTTTGCAATTATAACATCATGATCGTTAGTAAATTGTCTTTCGTCATTGATAAATTTCTCACAAATTTCTTTTTCAGCCAACTTTTGAGGAAATACCGACTCCCACGACCCTGTTTCAGAAGACACAGAAGAAGATTCTAAAATCACAATTTCCTCATTTTGTCGCTGTTTTTCTTCCTTTGATGAGTTGCTAGCCATTGTGTCTTTTATTTTAGACGTTAAAGTGCATTTTTGTCCATTATTAGTATCAGTAGACGTACCACTTAATGAAGCTTTATCACCACGCGACGAAATGTATTTCCATTTTTGAAACTGATTTTCTCCTGTTGGACTAGTCGGAATATCTTGTGGTTGATTTAAATCATCCGTCAGTTCATGAAGTGTGCTTTCTGTCAAGGATATATCAGTTAATGTGATATCTATATGGCTGCTTAGACTCTCCAATAAACCAGTGTTCTCCAATCCTGAATCTGACGAGATGAATATGTTATCCATTTTCGTAATGGTATCCGCAACATTTAATTGAGATAGACAAACAGTAGAGCTTATTCCTGGGGAATAGTTATATGCTGCAGATAAGTAATCTGATGACGAACTAGGATCATCAGTAATTAAGCTGTCTGGTGAATATGTTGGATCTACTATTTTATCAACGGCTGATTCACCTTTACTTAAAGACTTATAAGTATTATCGTAAGTTTTGCTAGATTCAAAACCTTGAAATACTTTAGATTTATGACTAGTAGAGGAAGTGATTTTCTTTTCTATGACTTTTTCGTTTTGAAGGGAAATATCTTCGTAATGACAACTAACTAAATTATCACAACTGTTGGAATGTTTTACTATTTTTGATGTGTGACTAGACGTAAGGGATAAAGTAGTAGGTTTAATCCGAGGTGTAACCAGAGGTTTATTAATCTCCTTAGCTTGAGTATTTATAATAGATTGAAATGCATTCGATAAAGCATCTTGTTCATTAAGCTCTTGATCAAGTAAATTTCCGTCTATTGGTACCAAGGCATAGTACTCCCTCGTCAATTCTGTGCTTGGGCTAAGACAACTATTTTTAAATTGTTTATCAGTGTATGGACTTAGACACTTAGGTGTCAAAAAAACTTCTTGTTCATCAGTAGTAACAATGTCGGTCCTTTTTTTAGGCTTTGTAGAATCAATTTTTTCTAGTTTTAATTTTTCATTTAAATATTTAATAATTTCCTTTTCTTGATTCTTTATGTTACATTCAACGTATGCATCACTGTAAAGGAAACTTGATTTAACTATTTGTAAATATATGGAGAAAAATAATATTTTGCACAAGAGTTCTTAAATAGCTTTAAAAAAACCTCTCAATATTTTCTTACCTTATAAAAGAATATATTTCGTCAAATATGTCGCGTCCAATATTGACATGCAAGAAAGTTTCAAGTTTTTGATAAAATTTATTAGTACGTGCTTTTAGTATACAAGAATGCGTAAGTATTTTTAATTTCCCACATGCCACCTCAAGATCCGAATATATTGACTCATCAAATATTCTGGAAACCAGAATTTGAGGATATAGTCGTTAGTATGTAGTTAGTAGTTACATTTGATTGTTCATTTTTTGACCGGGTGGTCAAAAATTTAAAAGGTTAATGACTAGTATCGTAAACTTTTTACGTTATTTTAAGCTAACTCATGCAAGACTTAATTGTATCATGTTGTTTAATTAATAGAATTTTAATCATCTTAAATATAAAACCTACCTCGCAACATCATCTTCCAGTTGCCTCTGAAGGTACTCCTCGAGTAGAGTCTCTTCTTCTGAGGCTGACAACTCGCTTGCCGGGACAGGCTTAGCCCTCGTGTCCGGCATTAAGCATTTCAGAGATCAGGGATGGATCTATAACATAAAATTTTATAAATTAAACTTCTCACATGGGCGGCGCAAAGCGTGGACGACGAGGGCGACCGCCTACGGCCTCGCACCCCGAAAGTACAAACAATTTTCATTCCAGAAAAATTTTAAACTCAAACGATGAAAATTCAAGACATCTATAACACCTACTGTCGTATGTGCTCTCTGCAATTAACACGCATCCAGCAATATGACTTAAATTTATAGTTTACTCTAAAATTTAGTATAGTAATATTTTTTCCATGGTAGCTTAGCGGCTAAGCATTCGCTGTAAATTTCACAGTACACGAGCAACCCGGGTTCATTCCCTGCCAGCTGAAATGAAATTGTTAAAAGCAATTTTAAGTGCTGATTTGCCACGTGCTCGGCGGTTAAGGAAACATCGTGACGAAACCTGCAAGTCTGAGAAATAAGAAAAAAAAATATTTCGAAGACTAGTGAAGTCCGCGGACTTTAAAAGCATAATAATATAATAATTTCAGTCACTGAATAATAATCTAACAAATAATTTGTGTGGCGTTGTTGTCCTGAACGATTATGACTATTAAATCAAAAAAAAATATATTCTGGTATGATTAACCAATAAACTTGGCGGCTAATATTTTTGCAAATCTTTAATTTACTAGATTTCCGCAAAACATCTAATTCAAATAATTAGTTAACAAAAGCACAAGTCGATTTGAAAGTTTTAAGAAGTGAGTACACTCATTTCCGATATAAATTATGTCATTATAAAATAGATATAAGAGCTTCTGCACTAATTTGGCCTGCGGCTGAGATTCTAGAAGCAGAACCCAGTATCTCTGAATATTATACGACCTTCTGATTCCCTTTGGAACAATTAATATATATATATATATATATATATATATATATATGTATATATATGTATATATATATATTTTAACTTATCGCGTAACCGTTACATCGTTGAGTGATGACGCTGCCTATGCTTATTGTAATGGTGCTATAATGAGTCATCATTACACACTAATATCTAATACAACGCTTCTACATGATCTCTCATATCGCCGTGTTATTGCTAAACATTCGTAAAAACAAAATGTTTCCATACTTACCATATTATGAGACACAATTAACGTGAAGATGGTTATACCAGTATTCAATTAAAAGGTTTAATTTATTTTGATATATAAAACATTTTACATAGCTATGTAATTTGAAAATGCATTCGTAGCTAAAAATACTTTCAAAAATGTATTAAGTCGTTAGTCATTACACTTTCACAATACCTACGACGGTGTAGAAGAGACGTTAAGTGGGACCAAATATTTTTATTTAAGTAGCGTATTCTGACCCTTGACATTAAGCTTTATTTTGGCGTCGCGTCGATCAGTTGCATAAATAAAGGCAACGTATTTGACATGAATGATAATATGTACAGCATTTCCTAACACGCATCTGATATGATAAGCGACGCAAATGTTACCTAATATTCTCCCTAGTTACTTATACTTTTTTTCCATTTAAGTCACATATGTAAAACAATAGGGATACGAAAGGATTAGAATAGCCGGGTTATCTATGAACATTTATCAGAATTTTTCTACTTCTACGTCAGCGTGGACATAAGCCTTTCATGATATTTTACGTCTGGCGTAAATAAGATGATTCATCACTAGAGCACTTATCGGTTATACGCGTGACAACAATGACAACTATCCCGCCCTATATATATATATATATATATATATATATATATATATATATATATATATATATATATATATATGTGTGTGTGTGTGTGTGTGTGTGTGTGTGTGTGTGTGTGTGTGTGTGCGTGCGTGCGTGCGTGCGTGCGTGCGTGCGTGCGTGCGTGTGTGTGTGTGTGTTACTATTCCATCCAGAGTATTGCGTCATTACTTTTTTCTTTAGTCACTAATTGTCACCAACTCTACAAAATATTGACATAATATAATTCACGATATCCTTGGAGAGGATCCTTCCTTAAAGAACGTAAAACATATCGAAACCTTATTTTGATACATTTAAATGCAAATCACATTTCTATTGTTTGCGTATATAATATATTTACAACGTTGCCATCACATTTGCCACGCTGGCATTAACTATTTAATCAAACTGCTCATTATTTTCGTCCTGTAATGTCGTCACAAGTATACTAAAATAAATTATTATATATAGTAAAGTAGGGTGGACATGATTTGAATTTCGATAGATTTTATTTGATTTGTTCTTTTAATTCAAAATTTTTGTTTTTATTTTTTATAAAATATCAGTGCGTCCTATTTTTCGAGACGGTAAAAATATTATATATAGTTTAAGCATATGTATTTACCACTTAAGTTTTAGCGTTAGTATGCTATTCTTAGAAACCTCATTATTACTATAAAATGCTAAAAGTTTTAAGCTACTATACTAGTAAGGATACAGTATCAGCGTTTGGGAAATAACTATAAATTTCGTGACGTATCCGTACGTAGTAACAAAGAGTGCCAGTTGCGTGCGCCAGTGCGTTTTGTGCATTTTGCCAGCGATAATATATGGATCTGAGAAGTAGTAGTCCTCCACTGCTGGTCGTATGAGTAAGCTAAAGTTCGCTCAAAGAACTACGGAGATGGTTATGTTAGGAGTTTATCTTCTTGATAGACTTTTTAATGAGGATATTCTCGGTAGTCCCAAGATTTAAGAAATATCCCAACGGACCCGTTAAAGTAAAACTGGACTATCTAATATAGCTTTAATATCTGACAACCGATGATGACCAAAGGCTTTCGAGTGGCAACCTCGCTCGGGTAAGCAATGGGTGCGTTTGGCAGAAAAAAGCGCTAGCAAGCGCTAACAAGCGCTAAAATAGTTTTCGGCCAGGACACGATTGCTACTTCAGTAGCGCTGACACAATCCGCCATTTTGCTTATTTAATTTGTTTATTTTGAAGTAGAGTTTATAAGTTGTTTTGAGCAATATTAGTTTTAAGTAATATAATGACATGAATAGACATATACATGTTATTAAAATTCATGATTGGTAAGTTTTTAATATGAATACTTTACAAACATATATTTAAATTAGGTTAGATTCCCCGGTTAAAACTAACATCGTGTCCTGGAGGAAAATAGCTACTTACGATTTGACAGCGGTTACCGCTTACGATCGCCATTTTGTTTACAAGCGCTTGCTAGCGCTTTTTTCTGCCAAACGCACCCAATGTGTAGGGTGACACACACACAAGATAGAATGCCACCTGACATTCCGTGGGGGAGGTCTATGTTCAACAATGTACTTGTGAAGGGCTGCCATAATGATGATGAAATGTAATGACAAGATCGTAGTATGTAGTTTGTTTTATGTTTGTTAATAGTTGCTGCCAACTGCTTGTCCAAATATTATGGGAAAAAAAAGGATATGGAATGATGAAATTAAGTAATGTTATATGCCTTTGAAGTTTCATAAATAATAATTGATTATTATAATGAATTAAAATACAATAATATTTAAGTGTATTTTTTTATTAGCAGAAATTATTAGAATAAAAAACCAAAATGATATCTTTCAGGAGCATTTACAGATACTGCTTCAGGGTTATTTTTCAAAGACTAGCCAAATTTAATAATTAAGGTCAAAATCCGCTGTATTGGATTTAGAGTAAAATCATTTTATTTTTCTTATTTCTCTCAGCAAACCCTTTCTTTTAATACCCATATCATGTGAGTGTATAAAAAATAACTAGCTGATAGTCGGCCATCTTGGGTTGTCAGACATATTGGATATAAAATGGATTAAGAATACAGAAAAGCGTAAATAAATAGTTCAAATCGTTTTGGAGATAAATGTAAGCACTCTATGGCACAAAAAGCATAAATTACAGCACCCACTGCCGAGTCAACACCATAACACATATCTAAGAACCATCAGACCATCACAAATCAATGAGTCACATACCCTTTTCAGAATACTTTATCTCTATCGGTTCATCTATTTTGGAGATAAATGGGAACATTCGTTTGCATAAAAATGTTTATTGCAGTGCCCCCTGACGATATAGCATCATAACATCTATTTAAATCTAGATAAATATCAGGTATTCCAAATATCAATTTGAATAAGAATTAATTGAGTATTTCATGTTTGCGCAATTTTTTTTTTCTGAACATATATACTTTTCAAGAAGTATCAATTCTGGATTGTGACTAAAGTACAATAATTTGCTCTTATGGCCTCATGGATAAAACATACTTTTTTATAAACTTGTTAATGTTAATTTTCAGTTCTTACAATTGAAAATTAATCTCACAATTCATGTTTTCTTGTAAGTTGTTTTAAATTTACTAACATCATCAGTATCACTGATATTTTATACAGCTGTTAAATTACAAACAGATTTGGTAGAAAAAATTGCAGAAGACTTAAAGTGGGAAGAGCATATATCAACAATTCTCTGGAAAGCTAAAAGACTAATTTACCCTGTCACAAAAACCTTTACTGTCCTAACACCGGAAATGATGCTTAAGATAAGAGATATATATAATAAGAGGGAGAAACGGCAGTCTAAAGAACATTTGAAAGTTTTAAAACTTACAACATTCAAAAATCACTGCGACCGAGAAGATCTAATCGAAACCTTTAAGATCTTAAGTGTACATTACGATGTTGAGTTTGACAAATTGTTTCACCTCAGGGGCCACCATCTTAAGCTATGTATCAGCTTCTCAAACAACAACCCCCATAAACACTATATTTGTAACCATGTAATCACAGAGTGGAATAAGCTGCCAGAGAACGTAGTCTCAGCCCAAAATGTGGACTAATTCAAAAATAATAATCATTTTTTGAACTACAATAGGAGCAACTTGTGGTCACTGCTGCATGGAATGAAGAGTATATGCTAATATTTCAAGAAATATGTCACTTAGTAGATTCTCGGAAAGGCTTATATTCGGCAGTGAGTTTTAAAGGCTGTTAGAATGCAAAAAATT